TTGCTCATCCGGGCTAGCTAGGGGGCGCTGAGGGGATCTACTAGTGATGACGTTTAGAGGAGGAAACGTGCAGGCTTTGTGTTCTAGGTGGTATTGGTTTAATACCCTCCGCTACGTGGCGCTTTTCTGCAATTTGGTTAAAATTAATTAAAACTCTTTCTGTGGAAAGTATTTATTTTTTAAATGGCAATGCTTTAAAATTGTTTAAAGAACATAAAACGACGAAATAGTTTAAATTGAATACGTCACAAAAACCACGTGATGAATGGCGCCTGCCACGGCCTGCCTGCCTGCACGCCGTCTCCTCTGCTCGTCCCTGCGTCGTTCGTCTGGGCCGTGCGTGCCGTCCATCTGTGCTTTCTGCTGCGTCATGTTCTGTCGACTTTGCATCAATCAAGGTGACGCATGACCACCCGTGTGCTCGCATGCTCGGCGTGAATTCGTGGAGCCCATCGGTTCGAGCTTCTCGCGTCGGGCTGTCTGGTTGCACTTGAACGTGTGTGCATGTTGATTTTCGATGAGATTGTTTTAAAAAAAGAATATAACTTACGACCGTGCACACGACATTGTCCATGAGTTCACAGATGACGGTGTTGAACGAACCTCTAACATTGCAGATGGAGCCTTGGTTGTTACGCTGTCTGAAATTTCCCGGAGGTGCGTTTAGCCCCTTGCATACACTGTTGTGCACACTTCAACAACGTCTTCTGTTTAACGCGGTCTCCTCATTTCTCTCATTCGGGAGCTTAAAGGGGCGGTGCAATGATATTCAATTGGAATGTTTTTCACTTTACACGAGCTTACTTGCACTAGTGGGACTCAAGGATACTCGCACGCAACGCCACTGACCAAGAAACTCCTTTGTTGCGCTGTAATTTCGAGGACAAAACCGAGTGTTTTCATTCAATCTCTCCTTCGAAAAACCTGATGACGTAGCTGGGCGGTAGCAGTACCGACCAGTGACGATATTTGAATACGGCTCATAGATTGGACCCGAGCATGGCGTGGGCAGTCGATTTGGGCTCGTGATAATCAATAGCTCGAGAAACATTCGGGTAGTGTCCGGTATCCAATCGCTGCAATGACGACAACAGCCGAACCATAACAATGTCTGGAAGCCCACAAACTTTGCATTGGAAATGAGGTCATTGAGTGGTCTTCTATTGTTGAACTTTATTGTTCTATCCATGAGATGAGCTTGCAATTGGCTCCGAAACGTACTGAGAGACACATTTTTTTAAGAACCTTTCTGTAACATGGAAGAAAATTGTGCCTCACAGGTACTAAGTGCCTCACTCTTTCTTGCAATCATATCCGTTGTTTATGCCAAGGATCTTCCTGAGGCAGTCATGGCTGCAGCCTATTTCTGTGATAGGATGTGCATACTTTTTTATTGTCTGAATAGCTAAAAAAATTCAAGAAGACAGGGCAGAAGTTGCGTCATGCCATTGTGAAGGGAGAATCTGAAATACTTGATTTTCTCTACCAGTAATTCGGATGGATTTCAGCATGGCAGTTCCAAAGTAGGAGGCAGCCATAAGCCATCATTGGGTGGCAAGTTACTATAAAAATAAAGTGAAAGCCGCTTACAACTCCCTGTAACGCCGAATTAGAGCGCAGCTCTTGAGGAGGAGGAGGGAAGGGCATTGGGGGGGGGGTTAAACTAACCAGGGGGGGTCACGTGACCTTGGGGGGTCACGTGACCTTGGGGGGTCACGTGACCTTGACGTGACCCCCAATGACGATGATGTCATCACTGACGTCACTGATGACGTCATCAGTGACGATGACGATGTGGGTACCGATGACGTCATTAGTGACGTCACTGATGACTTCACCAGTGATGATGACGATGACGATGCGAACGTTGGTGACGTCATCAGTGACGTCGCTGATGACGTCATCAGTGATGATGACGATGCGGATGCCGGTGACGACATCAGTGACGTCACTGATGACGTCATCAGTGATGATGGCGATGCGGATGCCGGTGACGTCATCAGTGATGATGACGATGACGATGTGGATGCTGGTGACGTCATCAGTGATGATGACGATGACGATGTGGATGCCGGTGACGTCATCAGTGATGATGACGATGACGATATGGATGCCGGTGACGCCATCAGTGACGATGACGTCCTCGGGGGGTCACGTGACCTCGAGGAGGGGGTCACGTGACGTCAAGGGGGTCACGTGACCTCGGGGGAGTCACGTGCCCCCCGCGAGGTTACGTGCCCCGGTGGGGGGCTCGCGCAGTGCATTATGGGACATTTCCCATGATGCACCGCGCGGTTACGCCGACGGCGACGGCGACGCCGACGCCGCTCAAGCCGGAAACGGGCCCCTAAGAGCTGCGCTCTAAAAAGTGTCCTCACGCTCTGGGATGAGCTTTTAAGCAGCCATGACTTTAAGTTATTACTTACACGACGCCTGCAGCAAGACACACTTGAGAACGTTTTTGGAGCTATATACGACAAATGCTGGGCTGCAACACAAACCCAAATGTGCATCAGTTCACCTCAGGACTAAAACACCTCCGGATAAAGAAACTGTTCAAACTGTCGGACAATGAAAACGTAGAGGATGACAAGGCTGACCTCCTAAAGCAGTTGCAAATATATTCGCACCATGAAAGTTTAATTTCAGACATTATGGAATGTCTTCCAATTGATAACTTCCCGCCACTAGAGGATATTTCTGAGCTGACATCAGACATCAGGTCTAACATAATTGATGACTCGTCCACTTTTTTATTACGTTTGGGGCTATTTGATCATGCTTTTGCTTGAACAGACAACTTACAGCTGTGGCTGTTCACAGCTGCTATCGGATGAGTCTAATAACTTGACCAGGCCTCACCAGTGCTGTCTTGTTCCTAAAGCATACCACGTGCCTGGAAAATTCTTCGGGAACTTAGTAGTACCATCACAAGCTGCCTTTCATTTCATTCAGCAGCTAGAAAATCACTTTCTTCCCATAATAGAGAGTGTGACACAAGTTCGAGGAGTGTGTGCCGCCTTGTATAGCACACTTTGAGGTCTGGGTGGTTATAGCCTTTGCCCAGAAGAGTACCACAAAGGGTTTTTAAAATTGTTTTGCAGAATACGCTTGTGTTGACATGTTTGATTGCTTAATTGAAATTTGAACAAAGTTCGGTTGCACTTTTCAGTTGCTAGTAAGAACGAGACAGGTTTAACTGTTAATAGTGTATTAACAGAGGCGGTTGCCAAACCAAAAACAAAAAGTGCTTATTAAGTGGGCGGTTCAGCTTGCTCTCCAAATATTTGTTTCCCCTTTTTCCAGCGAATGTGCATCGTGGCTCCCTAACAAAAATATTTGTCCACTTTCTACAAAATTTCGATAGAAAATAGTGTATGGAGGCTAAAAATATTTGAAAGAAAATGTATCCACTTTTGTATCCACTGTCCATAGTTCTTCAGCCACTTTTTTCTGAAGCCATATTTCATTTCTCAACAATTTCGGGGAATGTTTAGGGACGTTGAATCTTGTCAGATTTCGAAAAGAGTTCTCATTGTTTGGTAATGGCTCGCCCGCAGTGAGTTTGAGGCTATGCAAATTGGTGTTTTTTTTTATATTTGCCGAAAATCGGGAATTTGTACTATCCGGTGTGTGCTTCGCACTGTTATTATACTCTTATGATTGGTAATGATAGCGATGCCTTATTTATTTTTGCATTTACTTCCCGTACCCGAGTCGGCGTGAAAGTGAATGTATCATACAGCATGTTGTCCGTGGAAAGGTTTTGTTAACTTGGCTCCGCTAAAATCTATTACGAAGTGTACGATATGCCGAAGTCCTTCATATTCATTTATTTTTGTGAGTATCGATCTCTTTCGTATAAAACATACAGAGCTTCTGAAGTAAATCATGTATACATGAATGTGGTCCAATAAAATGTGTTCGAACCATTTACTGTTGTTGACCCCAAAATGCTCCACCAGCCAGGAGTCAATGCGGCGATTGTGTAACTTCAATGCTTTACAATAGAAAAAGAACAAGAAATATATTTACCTCTGCTTTGTGAAGTAAGTTGAAATATTGCTTGACACATTTTGCACGGGCTCTATCGTAAAAAATTAAGCAAAAGTGCGTCAGTATTAAAAAAAAATAAAAAAAAAACTAACAAAGGAGCTCCCGAGAGCCGAGCGAGGCGGGGAGGAAAGAGAGAGAGAAGGGTACCAGAGAACCGAAGCAGAAACGCCCAAACCGAAACCGAAACTAACTTGACCGGAAACGGAATCACATTACACTTAATACCGCCCGCTAGTAGCGCTAGCTGTCACTGGTCTATCTGGGCCGCTGGGGCCTATGGCAGTGTCCGCTCTTTACCTTGTGTATATTACTCTATGCTTTGTCTGCTTGTTGTCAGTTGCAGTTCGAACTTCGCTGATCCTCCCAGCTTCGGTCTGTCGCCTAACCCTGCGGTCTTATTAGGATGTCTCTCGACAACGTATTGGATGTGCACCAAAGCTATCAGTGTTCGCAAATTCCTACACCTATATCGGCAACAAGTGATTCTTCAAAGTTAGGAATTCTTGCGGTTTGGTTGGGTTCGGCAAATGACAGCTTGTGTGCCATATCGCGTTGAAACTTCCAAGAAGCCGTTCCCTCTCGTTTGTGTTTGTGTGGTTGTCCTGCTTCGACCGTTTCGACAAATGTCACGGATTACATCTTTCAAGTCCGCTCTTATTATGGTAAGTGCACTGCAGCCAATTTGTTGGCAGCGATTGACCGTTCTTCTACGCGTACTCTTCCAGATTAGGGAATTGTAGTAGACCGTTCCCGCTATCCCGCTATCCCGTTATCTCAAAGGATTATGCTACTGCGCATGCGCGTACCTAGCGCGGTTTTTGCGGAGTTGCGAAGGGCTTTGCTACGAGCTCACGAAATAGCGAAAGGCGAGACTTCGCGAGAGTCGCCGAGACCGCGCGAGACGTTGCTTCTAGCCACCATAAAGTTGCCTGAAGTTGGACAAGATGGACGACGTAGACAACCTCTCTCCGCCGCTGCCCGCTTCAAGGAGGCGGTTTTCTATCGAAGATGACCTCCTACTTCTCAGTGCAGTTAAGGGCATCAATCCCTTTGCTGACTGGGCGCGTTGGGGCGCGGTTACAAGAAAACTAAATGAAGCAGCCGACAACGCGTTTACCGTCCGCGCCGTCCGGGATCGATGCGATCTCTTGGTAGCCCAGTTTCGCCGTCAAGACCGCACGAATCTGCGCAAGTTAGTTTTAATTCCTTTTTTTTTTTTTTTTTTTGTTTCGAACTCGGAAGGAATTTCGAACAGCCATTTACTCTTCTTTTGATTTCCTCGAAACCTAGGTCGGGGACCGAGGAGCAATACGCGAAAAAAGAAAATTTGCTTCAGGAGATTTCCGATTTGGCCAGAGAATTCGGGCACCTGCCGAAAGTGCTGCCAAGGCAGGCCGCCACAAGTCCTAGGGGTACCACGGGCACGGAGGGAACGCAGGCCGCCAGTCCGCGGTTGAGTGCGGCTGCGCAAGTGCGCGCAATGCACGTGATGAGAGACGTTGCCACCTCTGCTTCATATGAAAAACATCTTGCAGCAGCAGCTGATCGCCAGGTGGACGAGAATGGTGAGTCTTATTCATGACGCTATATAGTCGAATACTGAATCTTAAAGCTGAATCTCGTTCCGCTGAAATGTCAGTGCATATATAAGGCTTTAACAACAAATTTTGCTTTTGGGGCCCTTCCATCTACCGAGATAGTGGAAATTAAACTCTTACAGGATGACTGCATGCCTTTTGTATAGTTTCTGTCATATATTGAACCAAAAAATGCATATTAGCAATAGCAACACAAACTAGATGTCATCTCAAACCTGACTGGGTTCACTGCTGGTGGCATATGTTCAAAGCAGTAGAAACTTTCTACTAATTCTACCTTTCAGGAAAGCGATGGGTAAGAACAATCACCACCACAGTGTACCGACGTTTTGAGATGTTGTCTGCCCTTAATCTATTTGAGGCTAATTGATAACGGGCAGGAAGATATCTTTAGGGCCAGTATACCGGTAGTTATTTTGTTATATCCGCGTTCTCCTAGGCCTATCGCACCACAGCTGTTGCTTGCTGCGGCGTGGCGCTGCGCTTAATGGCCAGTCCTCCTATACATAGTTCTCACGTGACGTCACTTCCTTTACTCCTGCCTGCTGGCCGCCATTTCCAGGTACTGTGAAGCAGACACGGACGTTGCCGCTGCCGCATGTGCGCTGCTAGATTGCGACTTCGCTACGGAATTTGTACCACCCGTACAGCGCGATGACGAAAGCCATTCACCATGAGTTCTGTTCTTGCTATTTCGAAGAGCTTGTGAGCCCCACACAGGCTGAGTGCGAGCCTGAAGAGGAGATGTGTGACGGCATCGATCCGTACACGCTACGTGTCGGCAAGGACAGCACTCCAGATGCGGACGTGCTGCCAGCCACGACGCATGTGGACATAAATACCTACCTGTTTTTGTTGACAAACTATGTGTCGCTGCAACAGATAAAGGCCTTCAGGGCCTGGACGCCCATATCTATTTGACGAGTGGACGGGTGAAGACCCTGGCAGCGATGTGCCGCCCATGGAAACGTATTGTCGTGCTGAGCGAGGCGAGTTGGCAGGCAATAAAACAAGCATGTTAAAGAGTGGCGCCCATACCTGCCGCATTAGAATTCACAACATTTTAGCTGAGTAAACCTGGCGCCGCTGCCGCAACACCATCAACACAAGTGTGCTACAAACACTATACTATTACAGAAATGCTATGAGAAAGGTAAAAGCAAATCCCTGCAGCGTGACACTGCCAGACATCAAACACAGCCTCGGCCGCTATGGCAATGCGCACAGGGTGTGAACAGAAGCTGTGTGTTACTCTGCACTGCAGAGTAACACACAGCCATATGTAGGGCTGCACCATTTGCCAAAGGTGACAACGCGACAGTGTAAGCGTACAAAGCTGCTGTCCGAGAAACACCGAAGGCCCCGGCTTCCTCGCACACATCGGAAGGACCTTAAAAACCTGGACAATGTCCATGTCGGCGATCGTCACTTCATTACCGGTAAGAAATACGTTGCTCAACTGTACGTGGATTGCTGGATGCATCCAGCAATCAACGTACAGTTGAGCAACGTATTTCTTACCGGTAATGAAGTGACGATCGCCGACATGGACATTGTCCAGGTTTTTAAGGTCCTTCCGATGTGTGCGAGGAAGCCGGGGCCTTCGGTGTTTCTCGGACAGCAGTTTTGTACGCTTACACTGTCGCGTTGTCACCTTTGGCAAATGGTGCAGCCGTACATATGGCTGTGTGTTACTCTGCAGTGCAGAGGACTTGCCTCTGCTTCGACAGCCGAACATCGTGCACATCGTCATGACTGTACCACAGCGACTGCGACCCTACACCGAAAGAAAAAAATGTGCACTCTGTGTGCCGCAAATGCCGTAGCGACGTAGCCAGCGCAGCAGCGGCCAAAGTTACCGGCGCCGATTCCGAAACCGAAACCATGTCAGTACCTGGTAATGGCGCTAACATATCCGTCCCATAAGCACCAACTGTGACATCTGTGAGGAGTATGTATATCCGATGACACCCCCTCTCCTCGGAATAAGTGGGAAACTATTGTGGCTACGGACTACAGATTTAATCGGTCTATGCAAGCATGTACTTCTTGTGATTGCTGCCGGCTGCACATGTTTTACTGTGCTTCGAGTCAGTCCTGTTGATGTCTGTTATGCAAGACCTTGGTTCAGTCGCAGCCTGCGTGTCAGTTTCATGGGATGCCGCACCAGTCAGAATGCACAATGCCTTTTTTTGAGGTAGACATTCAAGGCTGCACATCCTGCGACAAACATTGTAGGTGCATTTAATCTGTGCTCAATACGTCTCATTCTTCTGTCTGAAATTGCTGTCGTCCCATTCTGGTGTGAGCACCTTGGAAGTGGATGCCACCATCATGTTCAGGTGATGGCTCATTAGCAGCTCGCTGCGTGAGAATCATTCGACCACTGGTGTTGCTCTGTACGAAAAGAGCGCCAGGTTTAGGTATGTAGACTTCTTCAGGAGCAGTTTCGCTGTCCGGACAGCATGCTTCGCCTTGCCGTTACTCTGAGCGTAGTACGGGCTTGAAGTCACGTGGTTTGCTGCCCATCATTGTACAAATTGTTTGAAATCTGCGGAAGCAACCTGTGGACCGTCGTTTCTGCGGCTCGTTCTTGGTACTCCAAAGTATGCGAAGAGTGGTTCCAGGACACAAGCGATGTCCTTTGTCGTTATCCCTTTTAGCTGCTCCAACTCAAAGAATCTGGAGCAGTAGTCTATCATTGCCATGTAGTGAAACTACCTGAAATTACCACATTATTACTATGTAGGTCCTTCCTTCCAATGTGAAGAGATTGATGCGGATGGTGTCCCACGAATTGTCAAGCAGAGGAGTTAAAAGCAGTGGCTCTGCTGCCCGCTTCCGATGGTTTTGACAGACTGGAAATCTTTTTACATACACTGTCACCAATGCCTTTTACTGAATATCAGTAAGGTGCATTGGCGGCTGTGTATTTCAGGGCACCATATCTAGGGTCATGTAGAGCAAAAGTTAGCGACACAGAACTCTGGGACAATGGGGTCGATAGCCAGCACTTCCAGTTTCGATAGTAACGGATATTGTAGCAGCATACAGTTGTGTAGCCACTTCTGTGTAAGGCAGCAGTTTTTCTGGTGTGCTCGATTCTCGGCGATGATTTGACAATCTCTGGATGTTTGGGTTCCAACCGACTAGAAAATTTTGACAAATTTTGTGACAAAATATTTTCAGTGTTTCCGAAAGGTCTGCCATGAACTTGTGGCTACAGAAATACGTTTGCCGGTTTAAAAACAAACAAATCTTTATCACCACTATTAACAAAAAAAAAAAGAGCTGCTAAAAATCCATTTCGCCTCCGCCGTGATCCCGGCCAGTTTCGCCATTCGGGCAGGTCTCATGATCTGTGTCTGGAACGCGCCCCTGCGTGTGTCACGGCGTTGCATCACTGCCACGCGCTTTGGCATGGTAGACATTCCTATGGTTATCGCTTGTTTGCTACAAGGCCCCCCCCCCCCCCCCCCCCTAGAGGAGTCTCTTGGGAGATGTTTTGTTCAAGAGACTGAGCGATTTTTCTGGCACTGGGCGGGTTTTAGAAGTGTTGCCGAGTGTTAGGGCAGAGGAGGGCCAAGATAAAGGCTGGACGCTTGAAACATCTGTTGGCTCAAGGTGGGCAGGTTTAAGGCGGTCGATGGAGATGGTGTCTCTCGCCGCCCGTTTAAGTCTAGCAGAAAGAACTCTCGTCTGTCCAGCACCTTGAAGGGACCGTCGTAGGGTTGGTCGAGCGGTTTCTTGACTAGCTGCGTCTCGATGTACAAAAGCATGTGTGGCTGAGGCTAACTCGTCACACACATACGTCGGGTGGCAGTCGTGGTGTCTTGTTGGTGTGGCACGAAGGTTCCGCATCACTTCTCGAAGCTGTGTGACATAGCTGAGAGGATCGGGCACGGTAGAGATAAGTGAAGTGGCAATCATTTCACCTGGGAGGCAAAGCGTCTGTTCATAGACTAGGTCTGCGGCAGCGCATTCAATGTCTGTCTTGAGGGTGGTTCGCAGGCCTAGTAGGACGATCGGAAGCAGTCTGGCCCAGTTGTTAGGGTCGTTGCATGCTTTTAGCGCGGCCTTTAATGTTCGATGGAACCTTTCCACCAGGGTGTTAGCAGCGGGATGGTTAGCTGTGGTACGAATGCGAGATGTTCCCACGAGTACCATGAGCTTCTGAAGCAGCCTCGATTCGAACGTGGGCCTTGATCGGTAAATATAGATGACGGAACGCCGAAATGCGATATCCAGTCGTCGACTAGGGTCTTCACAATTGTTGTCGGCTAAGGCAGTCGTCAACGACTTCACCTGCAGGCGTGACGACTGCCTCAGCCGACGTCAGCGGCCTTAGGGGAGGAGCCCTTGTAGTGGACAAGCGATAACCATAGGAATGTCTGCCATGCCAAGACGCGTGCCAGTGATGCAATGCCGCGTGACACACGCAGTGACGCGTTCCAGACACGGATCACGAGACCTGCCCGAACGGCGAGAGTGGCTGGGATCATGTCCGGGTCACCAATTTGTGGTGACAAAAACCCGTTTGCCAATTTAAAAAAAAAAAAATGAGTTGTCAAAAATTCATTTTGCTACCACTGTGATCCCAGCCAGTCTCGTGATCCGTGTCTGGAAAGCGCCATTGCATGTGTCACGCAGCGTTGCATCACTGGTACGCGTCTTGGCATGGAAGACATTCCTATGGTTATCGCTTGTCCGCTACAAACTTGCCACAAAGGATCTCAATTTTGCTTGAGCGGCGATTGAATTGCAGGATTTGAATGTATTTAAATTTTTAAGGAAATGGGGGGGGGGGGGGGATCATAATCAACTGTTGCACTTCTAAAGAAACATGCACAGGATTTTAAGACAGCCATTTGCCAACAACATTCATGCTTGTAGCCACATGACCCTGTCCCGGGCCATCCCAGTTGAATGGGACCAGATTCACCATGGAAAGTTTGCCATAAATATGTGTTATGCCCAGGCACCTTCGTCGTTTAATAGAAGAATGAAAATAGTCGGTGTATAGTTCCATCTAAATAAAGTGGAGCTTGCGCCCTCTGAATGGAGATTATTTTCATAAATCCACTCTACCTAGGAGATTTCCTCTGAATCTTCACATTTACACTGACAGCGGGTTAGCCATTGATAACATCCGTTTGCTCTACCGACACTTAATGCTCAGTTAGCACAGTTGGTAGAGCACTCCAGTAGTCCTGAAAAGGTCCCACTTTCTATCCCCGAACCAGGCGGACTTTTTCAAAGGCTCACCGGTTGCCTGGAAAGCACGAGTAGCTCTCCAGTTTGATGGAACTGCGCATTGACTATTTCACTAAATTCACTCCACCTAAGGGATTCCCCAGAATTATTGGTACCTGATATTACAAGTAATGCGTATGAATTAATGTTTCTTGTACTCGTTTCAGGAGAGACAGTCACCAGCCCGCATCCTGCTGTCGCAGATGTGCGAGTCCGGTGGCGAGTCAACCATGCAGGGGTAGGTACTCCTACTTGTAATTGAGTAGGCTGACAAATTAAATGTAATTTATCTCCTTTTGGAATTATCAGTCCCAAAACATTGAATATAATTACAACTCATTACAATTATTTGCAAGGTTGGAGCTTATTTCTTCATGGGAAAAAGTGTTGGGAATTTGTCTCTTTTGCCTTTCATTCCATGCATGGCAGCTAACTTCGGAAGCGCAAAGACTGTGCCTGGGCATCAACCATATGCACCCAGCTGAGCTATTGTCAAAACAACAACACATGCCAGAGGGTGCCAGATAATGTAGATGTCCCATCTTCTGGTGTCATGGTAAAGATAAAAGGTCCAAATGATTGAGATCTTTGTGTGCACATGCCTTATGTAACACATTTGCAGAATAAAGTACTAGCGGCACGGAATGGAACGCAAACGGCGGAGCCATGGCTTTCGACACATGCAGCGGTACCTAGAGGGCGTTTTGAAACTAATGACGGGGCGCAGAGTTCGAAGGTGTAGGTCCTACTAAAATATGTTTGACCCTCACTCAACGCATCCAAAGCTTCTGCGGATAGCTGGCAGTATGCTGGAAGCTCCCTCACTGAAGGGGCCTACGTCCTCGCCTTGTCACCCACTTGCACCTCAAGCAAACCGAGTAGGTAGATGATATGATCTGCGACTGGCTCGGGTAGTAGTGCCTGCACTTGCATTGGTGCCAAACACGTAGCGAATACTGAAAAACAAATTCTAATGAAAAAGATATACTGTGATACCGAAATACAGGTACGAAATGTATTTCAGAAATACTATTGCAAAACATTTGTATCGCCCCTGGTGTACTGCAAGTCTGGATTGAAAGCTGAGGCAGTTCGCGCAAGGCAGTCTTGTAGGGCTTCATTGACGTGAGTCACCAGAACCACGCCGAGGCCCTGGTGATAAAGCTGGCAAGCACTGTCCTTGCAAAGTTGTAATGCTTCATCGACGAGAAACTAAATTAGTTTCCTTGTACAACCATAGCCTGTGAGCAAAAAGAAGAAACGAGTCTCAAATACTGAAATTGCCCAAATGAGACTGCTCACTTATTTTAGAAGGAATGTGCAAGCTTTCTTGCATAGCTATTTGTAGACTCGTGCATAAAAGTGAGAAATTGCTCGTTGACCCTATTTGTTGACCAGCGATATGCCAGGCGTATCAATTTTGGGGACGAATAAATTTATCGGCCTGCTTGTACAAGGCTCCTTGAATATAGATACATCTCGGCGGCGGTATAACATGAAAGCTCGTTTGTGCCGAGCGAGGGTCGAACATATGTTGGTAAGATCTGCACCCTCACATTCCGCCATTCGCGTTTCATTCCATACCAGTAGTACAAGCGTCGGACCTATCAGCCACTACAACAGAAGGCCGTCCAAAGCACTGAAAATCCCAACTTCGGCACTTCAAGCATTGTCTTGAAGTGCCGAACAACCGAATTGGTTATTGAAGGGGTGGACACAAGAAAATAGTCGTCCTTTCTGCCTTGTAAAGCCGGCATCACACTGCTTATGTGTCGTACAAAAAATGCCGGCGTTTCACTGCCAACATGTTCTAAAACGAGTCACTGCAACATCAGTGCTTTGTTTGCCACGAGGCAAGCAATTCAGGTAGTGACTCATTTTAGAACATGTCTGCAGACAGTATTTTGTATGATGTATAACCAGTGTGACCCTGGCTTTAGGCATGAATTTGCAGCAGGGACGATTACAATGACGGTTTTTGGGTGTTGGTAAAAAATGTTTGATAGCGTTGTCATCGCTTGGAATGGGTTCAACAAAGGGGAGCTGAAAGGGGAGGTTAGGTTAGATTGCAATTTGCCCTCATCATTGAACAGCACACACACAAGCAGTTCAGTTCTATAGTAGCTATAGTAATGTAGACAGTTGGACAAGTTGAGCTACAGTAACGTAGACAGTCGGGCAAGTTAGTATAGATTGAAAATCTTTCGTCAATACATAGTTTTGCGTCTGCACTTGTCCGTCGTCTTTGTGTTCCTCTTCTCTGTCCCCTTCCTTTTCGTGCGCCACTATAACTATGTTCTACCTTGAGCTGCTACTATTATGCATTCACCCCGACACTGAAATGTGAACACATCATGTCTCCCTAAACAGTTATACTTGGACCACATGACCGTGCTCCCAGCTCACAGTTTGAGCTCAAACTGCAATCCTCTGGCACCATAGCCACAGCTAAATGGTCGAGTCATTGTGCAATTCCTGAGAAAACGAAAGAGGAAAGCATATGTGCACTCTGCGAAACCTTTACTTCGTATCACTAGAAACGGCATTTCAGTGCCAGAATTGCCTCAATTGAAAACCCATTCCGGCCCCATACCATATTTACTGGTTTCTCAGACAACACCAGTGATAGTCTTTCACTGCCTTTGCCCTTTCAATGCGGTATGAAAGTAAAGCGGGATGACAGCCATTGGTGATTGTTACTGCGGAGGTGGGGGAGAATGGTCTAGGAAACCTTTTGGGAGGTGTTTGAAAAAGCCCCTGCTCTGCCTAAACTACTGCACAAAATTAATTCCGCGACTTTTTGTCGACTTAAATAAATCAGCTGTTCACAAGGAACGAAACCGATATGTTTGAATAATATGCATGGAAGCATTCCCCTGGGCAAATGAGGAGTGGCTCACGAGAACACAACTGTGGGAAATGTCATTCATATAAAGATTGTGAGCGACCTAACAGGTGTAGCAGCAGCTTGTGAACACCATGGACAATGCTTGTCGCTGTTTAATCTGGCTTTAAGGAAGCATCTCAGAAACCTGGAGTGAATTAGTGTAAACCTCTAAATATAAATAACTTTTTTTTTCGGATAAATAAAAACATTTCATAGATATACAACAAACATTTTAACTCAGCCTTCTGATATTGATACAGACAACCGAAGGCGTGGTTGCAATCAGCTGTGCTGCCGGGTCATTTTTTGAAATCTAGAATGCCAATAAAACCCCTGCGTCTGCCCCTTTTGATAACGTGAAATCAGCCGGTTCCAATAGCCCAGCTCCCAAAGCGTGACAATTTTTGAAGCATCCCATGCAGGATTTCCCAAGCTCTGGTCGGTGTTCACTGAAGTACTTCTGGCTCATAGGTCCAGCACTGTACCACTGAATGAACAAGGTAGAGGGCCTTACAGCGACATACTCGCAGCTGAAAGTGACCCCCAATAGGCCGCCGCTATCCATGTTGCACATTTCTGACCACTAGACACGACCACGTGACCTTACAGTTTTACATCTAGATTTTAATGAAGTACCATGCACAAATAGTTACTTGTTGATTTTTAATAACAGTACCAACAAGATAAGTTACATTTCTTTTCTTTAAGCCCAAAATGCGCTTTTGCAACAAAAACTCAGGCAGCTTCGCAATGCCTCTGCCAGGTGCCGTCAGCCACGGTGCTGTACTTGAAGTTTTTATCAAAGCTAGGCACAAATCTCTGGGGGCCAACTGTATTGTAAAAATAGTTTATCATGTTTTTATACAGCGATCGCAATACAAATCTCAGCTCAGTTTTCTGTAAAAGTCTCACAATTTGGTACGGTCCTGTGTCTAGTGGTACAAATTGTACAACTTGGCGGAAGCCAAGTGGAGGTCACTTTTGCCTGGTGAATGGGATACCAGTTTATCACTCTAAGCCCCTCCCCTTGTAGCACTGGGTGTTGAATACTGCACTGTAAATTGCGATCGACTGAAATCAATTGAGATCTGGTGAGAGGGCTCGGCAAATCACAGCTCAGAAGCTGTCCTAGTTAAAGAAAATGATTTCTGTGCCTTCACACTAAACATGGCGTGTCAGGTGGCATGCTATGCTCAAATCAATGGTACACACTTGCTTTTTGGCCAAAGCTGCTGCTTGGATGTCATTTGCCAGGCTGCCCCAGTAGGTCACAATAATTGGCTCTGTGTGAGCTCTGTGGAAAAATGAATGTACGAGTCTATGTCTAGGGGGTCTTCTAAAGTAACAGATAATTGTGATTTATTTTTTTGTGCTCCTAATTGCAACTACATATTTTTGTAGCAAACTAGCTGTGATAGCAATACCATGAATTTCAGACCACCACCACCACCAACTACATCCGACGGAGGTGCCACCGTGGACAATGCTGCAAATGATGGGGCATGTGGCAGCCGTGATACGACCTATGCTGCGTCGCCGCCCCCCCGAGACGCCAACATCTCTGCGTCACCGCCCAGGAAGAGGCGGCCAGCTGCAAACGGTGAGTACCTCAATAACCCCTGCTAACTGGCTCTCCTTGAGTGTCTGCTTGATCCTGGTGCCGTGTGTTAGAAAGGAGTCTGCTGCTAAATCACCAGACTTTTTTGTGTAGGAATGGGAGACAGTTCTAGTAAGCTGTTTACAAGTTCGCTGTCCTTTCATCTGTTTTAGGAACTTGCATTTGGACATTGGTCTAAACCGTATAGGTATTGGTTGCCCACACTTGGACTTTTGGAAAGAGTTTTCCTTGCTCCCACAGTACGGCTGAACAGATCTGAGACATGTATAACAGATGTGCCTGTTTCCTTGAGTAGTAATGCATCAAAATTCGTTTGGGAAAGACCGTACGGGCAGGGCAATAAAGCTCGAGTGAGAGAGCACATGTTTGCAGTGCAACAGCCACAATGCTACAGCAGCCTTCATGCCTCATGAAAGAGCCGGGCAGCGAATTCAGAAGTGACATCATTATTTGTGCTTTCTTTTTAAGATATGTGATAAAAATTTCAGTTCTTTTTCAAAGAAAAAAGATGTTGGCCTGCAAATAATTTTTATTCTTAAACTGGCCCGATTCGCAAAAAGTTTATCCCACGAAAATTACTGCGTTTACAGTAGTTTGCAACCTGCAGTCTGTGATGTCACAAACTTGCAGGCCGCATAAACAAACTACTCTCATGCACTGTATACTCATCACAAACTATTTAAGGTAACATTCCTTTTATTTATAAAATAAAGCTAATTTTCCTTCCTTTTTTTTTTAGTTTTGACTTTTTGGCATTTTTTTTGCAGGAAAGACGCCACGGTCCGAGGTGGTGGCATTTCTAGAGAGGCGTGATCAAAGTGAAAGAGTACTGAAAGAGCGTCAGCTCAACCTTGACGAAAGGAAGATGGCCCTTGATCAGAACCGCTTTGCGCTAGAGCAGCGAAAGCACGAAGAGGAGGCACAAGACAAGGCAGAGGAACGGCGTTTGCAAGTAGAGGAGAAGCGCCTGCTTCTCGAGATCCTTTCAAGGAAACTCAAGAATTGAGTATATGCAATAAAACAGGAGTAATACAACATCAAGACCATCTCTTTGCAAAGAAGAAGACGAAACAAAGGCACAAAGATGAAATGCGGAAATACAATTTTTTTTAATATGAAAATGGGATTAACCTATAGTAATGTTGACAGTTGGGCGAGTAGGTATAGCATACATTTTTTCTTTGAGAGGGGGGGTGGGGGCTCCATTCTATGTTTTTTGGTAAGATCCTTAGCTTCTTTTTTGTCTTTCTCTTTGTGTTGCATTAAGTATCAGTTGTCAGTAGTGCTCTATCCTGTCTCACTCGTCTATCTTTTGTTTTGTGCTGCTAATTTCTCAAAGTACCGCAGCATTTTATTAATACCTAGTGCACTACACTGCCATAATTCTTAGACTTGCCAACCCCACAAAGATGGGAGTACTAGGGGGGACACCAAAATACTAAAAAGGTTTTCTGTTGCAAAGTTGTTTTACAAAGACAAAACGTCACAGCTGGGGTATTAAGACATCATTGTATACAATTTCTAGACGCAAAACTAGGTTAGACCAATACTAGGACCAGGGAAAACCAAGAGAGAACTTTACTGGAAGCACGAGTGTCCTTTCACATCATGGGCACGTGGCTCGGAAGTAAGTGCATGAGCTAAGAAAGGCCAAAGGCTAAAAGCTCGGACAAAGAGAGGAAATTGGTTTTCTGTTATTTACTTCAGAAGTGTCAGAAATCCACTCCCACAATTGTTTATGCAAAGTCCAAGAATCGTTGCACAGCTCCTTTAAGCTGGCAGTGAAATATATGGGCTCCAGAGAACAAAGACTGGCTTTTCATCTGGAGTCAAGTGATGAAACAGGAAATTTATTGGACACAGTGGGGTCAGGTCACGCAACACAGACAACTGATCGGACTAACGACCAGGTAGCTTTCCCTCGTGGTACCCCATTCAAACACCTCGCATAAAAAAAAAAATTTACCGTGCCAGAGCTGTGGCGCAATCAAAGTCCTACGCCTTAAACAGTTGGAACACTGTTTAAATACTCCTGCAGCGTAGGAGGGTCCAAATCAAAAAAGCTTGTGACCTGGCTGCCGTACAGACAAGTGTGGCGATTGGTGAGCAGTGTAGCCACTTTATACATGCGAGCCACTCGCTGCTTAAGGATCTTTTGGTTTTTTTTTTGAAGTCCACAAAAGCAAATTCTGCCACAATCCTCCCAAACCCCCACTCGACAGCTTGTCGGACGGTGCTCATTTCTTTGTTGAAGTGCAGCTGAGCTGCAGTGGCTCCCGTCGTTCTGTAGGGCTTGAGAAGGAAGGGCCCTATAGGGTAGGCACTGTCTCCATACAGGACATAGGAGTGCCCCTGTACCAGCCTACGCAGCCTTTGGAACAGGAGGCTTCCACGCAGCATACCTGCAAGTGCAGTGCGATTGTTAAACTAGCATAGTGCATAGTGGGCGGTGTTGAGTAGAGAGCTGTGGAATGGAGATTTATAAAAGAGCAAGAAATAAAGAACTCCAATAACAGTATTCTGCCTTTAGTTACATATAATTCCTGTGGTAGTGTTATGTGCACGCAAATCTTATCACATATATAATATCCAACTCCAACAGCGACCACTTGTAATGACCTCTGCACGCGTCAACTGCTCCATGAGGTAGCAGTCCGTAATACTGATGTTCCTAAGCAGTGGACACAACTAATATACACCTCTGCCAATGATGCTGCAACTGTTAGTATGACATGCATTGCAGAAACATACTGCAAGCACCAGCGTCCAAATGAACCATACATATCTAGTTTCATCTCTAGAAGTTAAGCCTGAACTGAATGAAGCATTTGACGAGGGTAAGTACTGTAAACGACTTATTTTTTACGGGCTCAATATTTTGTGATTTAGTTCAAAGCTGAACTTTGAAATTATTCGCGGGTTCTAACTTTCGCGAGGCAGTGGGATATCAATATAGCTTCAAGTGTGTTTATATTTTACCAGAATTGTTCAATGACCTATTTTACAAATTGTAGGCGATTCGCAGAAATTGTGAAATTTAAGTCCGCGCGAAAATGAAGTCGTTTAGTCATCACCTGCTGGTCTGTATCCTTTCCACAAGTGTCCGATATGCTTGGGTGCAGATTAGTATGAAATCAATAATTATCTTTTTCTTTAGAGGCTAGTCAGCAAATATGAGTATGGCTCTGTATATAATTACACTGCTGCATTTTGCCACGAAAGTAATATGCTACAAAGAAGAAGTTCGCTCAAAATATTAAACGGACGAATCTGGTGGGTGAACTCCAAGAAGGGCCTCCCATAAACCTTGGATGCCACTGGCATTTTGCTAAAACACTTTGCCCTGAAGGAAAGCGAAAGTTGCCGTATTTATGAGGGACACCCCAAATATTCATTTGGGAAAAAAACACTCGGGATGCGAGGCCTTTACTTCGCACACCTGGGATCAAATTGGAACCTTGACATCACAGCGGCGGTCCTGAAGAAACTTGCAAAATTTCAGCTGCCCCACTTAAAGGAAACTTGATTGTAACTAAATAGCTGATGCTGGGTCTATATTGTGACAGTTTATTCCAGGTCTCCCCAACGTTTTCGTCCTTGTCCTGTGCCCCTCGTCTTCCTTTTCTTCTAGTTTTCCTGTTGCTCTTTTTCCACCTCTCTTCGCAGTTACAATATTACATGAGCTGATGACGGGTGAGCAAACGACGCAAAGTCGGGTCGCGACTTTTTAGTTATGGCTGCATGTCCCGCGGCTTCCAAACGGACCGCGCTAATGAAAGGCTTTTTGCACTAGGGACAACCCCGACACGTCTTAACCCATTCGGTCCACCTGTTCACGTTGCTTTGCGGCGGCAGTCTGAGGCGGCTTGTTACAAAAAGAATCTAATTCCGAGCTGCAGATGTATGAACCACTGCGGTTTGGCCTGTTTCGTCGCGTGTGCATCACTGGGACGCGTGCTAACTCATATGGTCTACTTGTTCACGCCGCTAACTGGTGGCGGTGTAAGGCGGCTCATTACAAAAAAGAAAAAAACAAAAACAAATTTGGTCTTTAATTTTCTAATTATTCTGCCAAATGGCAAAGTAAACTAATTAGAGACACACTTTTGATTACTGATAACCATTTGGCACATGATAAAGATCTTGTTTCTTTTAGAGTAAGAAACGAAAATGGAGACGCTCCTAACCACTGATCTCAATGACAGTAGCTGTACCGCACATCCCCGCTTGGTCGCTGCAGCGCCAGTGTAGCCACCGGACGTCCATCTCGCAGCACAATTGTGTTTTTGCTAGCGTTGCAGAGGCCGGTGGCAGCATGCTGAAGACACGTTTTTTACTCGTTCGTCGTCATTCACCGAAGAAGTTTTTTTAAAACCCTGTGTAAGCAGGGAGACTTGCCGTTGAGAGCACAAGCAAATTTTTACAAAAGCACAGTGCCGCAGGAAAAAGCCACAACTCCTCGAAGGCAAGTCTCGCCGGTCTCGCGGCATGATCAAAGCTTCCATGGCACGTCAAAGTGCTGCGTCTCTGTGCGTTTGCATGGCTGGATAACGATCAAGAATGGACACCGTGTGGATCTGTTTTGCGAGTGCAATGTATGTGAAGCCATATGTAAAGGCACAACTCGTCGAAAGCAAGTTTCGCCGGTCTCGCGGCATTATAAGAGCTTCCTTGGCACGCCAAAGCGCTGCGTCTCTGTGCCTTCGCATGCTTGGATACCGATCAAAAATCAGCGCCGCGGCAAAGTTTTGAAGGTGTGTCCCGCATAGATATCTTTGTGTCATATATCGGCCATGGAGTTCTGCATCGTCCAACTCTTCCGGCGAGTTGCTATCAATAAAGGCGGGGAAAAAATTTATAGGGCTGCTCTAATGTACTATTAAGCATGGCTATGTTCCAAATCTACTCAAATGAATCACATGGCAGAACAACTAGAGCAATGCTATGGAGCAGGGAGGGTGGCCCATATGGTCATGAGCAATCTGTTGACCAATCACAATTAGGCGAGCCACACTCAAACGCCAAGTGAAATGAAGTAGGTTGATAAGGAGCCAGCACTGACTAGTGATGAAGAGCTGCTGTGGTCAGTATTCTGTAAACTGTTTAACGAAAAAAAAAAGATGTATCCCCACCCCCTTCCCCTACACACTTTTCTGTTGCCACTGGACGCTGGATCAAGCTTGTTTCTGGGCCGCAAGTGATGCAAGTTGCAAATGGCTGTCGGAGCAAAGTAAAACTACAGTGGCTTAAAGGGGTAGTGTGGTTATCGCGTAGCCTCCACCATGCATCGGGAACAGCCGCTCCTTGGAAGACGGTGTAGGTGGCACTTCGATCCGTAGCACCGTTGGGTGGCTTAATCGGCCGGCAGATAGAGACACCCTAACACGCTTATAACTAATATAAATACCTCAAAAACAATTATTTGTTTCCAGTGAACTTCCAACGACATGATTCGTGTTTGAAGGCGAAGAAACTAGCAGACGACAGTGTAGTCGTCTGCTGCAAATCGGCCGGAGCTGGCCGGAGCCAAGCTGACCAAGCGGCCAAGCCGGAGCCATAGCCAAAACGACGGTGCTGCAAGCGCCAGCGCCACCCGCGGCCGTCTTCCAACACTGTGCCGCTTCTCCGGGTTCGTTCGTTAAACTACCCCCTTTAAGCCACTGTAGTAAAACACTTTGCCAGAGGCACATACGGCTTCACGAACAGTGCACTCGCAAAACACTTCCATACAGTGTCGATTCTCGATCGGTATCCAAGCGTGCGAACACACAGAGACACGGCACTTTGGCTTGCCAAGGAAGCTTTGATCACGCCGCGAGACTGGCGAAACTTGCTTTTGACGAGTTGTGCCTTTTTCCTGCGGCACTGCGCTTCCGTAAAAATTTCCACATGTTCTCACAGGTTCTCAACGGTAAGTCTCACGGCTTACACAGGGTTTTAAAGACCTTGTTCGGTGAATGACGACAAACAAGTAGTAAACGTATCTTCAGCACGCTGCCGCCAGCCTCTGCAACGCTGGCAAAAAAGCGA